GGAGTATTGAATCCCCTGCTCTAGATTATTGGCATGTTTGTAGGGTGGCCACCAATTGCAGAAGCCACTGGGTAGCCAGATTTGTGTAAATATGCCCAACTAACTTCCAACGTCTATGGTCAGCCTAAATGTACAGCATTAACTACAGATTCCTTGATATTCAGCTAAACGTCATAGTTCTGACATACGTCCAGGGATGCATGCCACAGGAATTCAGTTTACCTGTGTTATAGAATTTCACCATAAACTTCAATGAGTATAATGGATTATTGGACTGGGGTGCAAACTACTGGCAATGTACCAAGAATCACATTTGTACTACATACGGTATTTGTAGATTGAAATCAAAGACATTAATATAATTACATTCACCAAACACCAGTGAATACCGGTCTTCTATATAATATTTGAGGGAAATACATGAGCTTGAAGAACAAAATGAGTTTCTGTTTTGTATTATCTTTAAATGAACACAAGATGGAGCCAAATAACCACACTTGTCTTATGTACAGTTCACAAAGAAGACTACGCATTTCCTAACATGAGGGTCTTTACAAGTGCGCCCGTTGTACATGCTTGACTATTACATGTATAAATAATAATATGATGGCAAAATGGTATCACAATGTGATGAATACCAGCTGCCACCATAAAGGGTTATGTTTATGTTAGAAGAACAGTATAGCATATTCTCAGCAAATACATATTTTGACTTCCTACTGCATTGTCCAATTTAAAGTAATCATATATGACATTTATATTGTTACAAGCTTGTTCTCCGCATGTTTTAAAGATTTCTAGGTATACCCAGCACGTCCAGGTTCACTACTTTTATTTGGCTTTATGTTTCTTTTAGGTCACAGGGGTACATTTAATAATATACTCCTGTGACCCATAGTCAGCAGATAGAGGGCTAGTGCCACCCCACAGCTAGGAAAGATTTAGACAATATTGTCATGATCCACCCGCTGCCTGAAGTTGGCCATACACCTATAGATTATCTGCAGATTTTCTATGGTCAGGTAGAAAAAGTGCCACAGATTCCTCCATCTACGCTTTGATTCGGGTACTGCCCTGGGGGACATGTATCAATGAAAAAAAAAACACTTTTAAAAAATAAAATTTTTATAGGAGCAGTGATTTTATCATCACAATAAAAATAAAAAATTCCTTTAAATATCGAGTGGGGGGTTGGGTCCCCTTAACCTGCCTGTAAAGTGGCGGATCTGTAGGATGTATAGAACCTGCTGCAGCAAAACTGACATTTGTAAGGAAAAAAAAAGTGTGCGGTTCCCCCTCCCAAACAAGGAATGTTAGGAGGAACCCCATTTAAATGAAAAGAAAAAAAAAAGCGAGGGTCCCCTCCAAAAGTCATACCAGACCCTTAAGGTCTGGTAGGAATTTTAAGAGGGACCCCATTAAAAACAAAAGCGCGTGGGGTTCCCCCTCAAATTTATACCGGACCCTTAAGGTCTGGTAGGAATATTAAGGAGGAACCCCACCCCCGAAAATGGGGGTCCTGTCGCCCCCACCTTGTCCCCATGCAGGTGGGGACAAGGGCCTTTTTCCGACAAGCCCTGGGGCGTTGGTTGTGGGGGTGCGTGTAGGGGGGCTTATTCACATCGAGGTACCCCTTATACCCCTACCCATTCACTAAAGGGTTAAATTCAAATTGTAAAAGGGATGCCACACTTTCAAAAAAATCCTTTAAAAAAAAAGAAAAGACGTGTTTTTGACAAGTCGTTTATTTAAAAAAAACAAAAATGGATCCACCGACGTAATCCCAAGGTCAATCATGACGTCCAGCGTTGTCCACGACAACTTGAAGAAAAAAAAAAAGAGAAAGTAAATAGAAATATTTTTTTTTTTAAACGACGCCCGCCGACCCGTCTGCTCGCGACAAACTCCCACCACAGAATGGCATTCTGACAGATGCCGGCAAAATATAAACAATTAGGCGGAGCTATCAGTGACATCACCGGTAGCTCCACCCAACTGTTTACATTTGTCCGGCACCTGACAGGACTTAGCTGTAAGCCATGATTGGGCAAAGTAAGAAGTAACACATCACAACACAACACTAAGTGAAGGGGAACTAAGGCCTGTGTCCTGTAGTAACCAATGAGCACAGCAGTGGACCAGGAATTGATCCACTGCATATTAGTGGTGATAGGTTCTTTCTAAGGTGACTTTAGGGGTCTATTAGACCCCTAGTGTCACCTTTCTACTTCAAAGAAGCTATTCAAGTGCAGATCATGCTTGAATAGCGTCTTCCCTGGGTTCTGTAGCTGGGGAATGACAGCTGAGGAACTAGAAGGCGGAGGGGATCAGCAAATGGATTTTCATTGATCTCTATCCCCTCCACGCGCCGACACCTGTGATGCTGGTCCTGGGCCCGCAGGAGGGGTAGCACAGCCCGAGAAGCAAGGTGGGGGTGTTGGGCAAGGGGCCCTCCTCATCGGCCCCTGGCGGCAGCTTAGCTGACAGAGTCACTTCCAGTTTGAGGGTACGTTCACACCATATGCAGTGCGTTTCGGTCCGGTTCTGGGCGGAACGCACTGCATCGCATTGCGACCGGCGTACTTTTTTTTTGTAGGGCAGGAGGGGGCGTGTTGGGCCATTGAAGTGAATGGCATCATAGCCACGCCCTCCGGCCGCAATGCGATCGCCCGCACGGGATAGTGCTTGCAGCATTTTGAACGCACCGCACCAGACTGCAGACACAATGTGCCTTGCGATCCCGTGCGGGCGATCGCATTGCGGCCGGAGGGCTAGGGACGCACCGAAATGAAATTTGTAGACCGAGACCAAAAATAAAAGTTTTGTCAGGCGGAAACCGAAAATGAATTTTTTTCAAACCTTTTAAAAATAATGTTTTACATTTTTTTATTTATTTTAACTTTACTGTTGGGGGCTCTGGGGAAATATCAGGGGTCTAAACAGACCCCAAATAGTTCCCTTTTAAAATAGAAAAAGCGACTTGAGTCAGAGTCCTCAATCTCTTTTTCTGCAGCCTCTGTTACGAATGAACAGGAAGCTTCTATACTGAGTGCTCCTGTCCATTCATAAACTGTGGGAATAGTATCAGTTACCATGTCCACAATCATGAATGAACTGGAAGTGATGTAGAGCACTTCCTGTTCATTCATAACTGGGGACACAGTAAGCATACTAGGTCCTCAATTATTTACAAACACTCAGCAATCAGTTCTGATCGCTGAGTGCTTGTAACCCATTCTCTATCCTGACTGCTTCGCCTGCCACAGGAGGCCGGGCGGTGTGGTGCGGTGCAGGAGGAGAGCTCGGCTTCCTGTGACAGCTGAGAGCTCTCTCCTCCCCATGTGGTCTCCTGGAAAATTCCCTCCTCCCCGCTGGACGCCGGTCTGTGTCCCCTCTGATCCCCACTGCCTCTGCCGACACAGCGGGCCCGCAATGCGGGCACATTCGGCCACATAAGGCTGGACGCCCCTTTTTTTTTCTCGGTTTTATTTCAGCGCACATTTCCTTATAAGGCAGCCTAAATTTTGGTGCATCCCTAGCGTAAACCCATGTACAGCCGCCTGCACCCATTTACTACCATGGGTTTGCTGGTTACCTTGGGCATAGGGCCGGTGCTGCCACTAGGCAACCTCCTACGGAACACTGCTGCCTAGGACGCAGCCTTGACCACTGACCCCCCACAGCGCCCCCCCATCTATTTCAAATTGCAAAAGCCACTAGCAGGCTGGCTATTGCACCCGGCCACTGAGCAGAGAAGCGGAACTGAGAGACAACTTCCTCTCTCAGGTCCGCTCCTCTGCTCAGTGGGGGGAAATCAGGAGCTAGTCTATTTCAAATTAAAATAGCCAATAGCACTCTGGCTTTTGCTCCCAGCTGCTTACATCCACCTGTTGCCTATGGAAGATAGCCGGCAGAAGAATGGGGCCATGCGGAGGGATTGGGGGTTTCGCAGCGGGAAGGGGGCTGGGGGAGCGCGCAGCTGGCCTTGCCTAGGGCACAAAATAGTATAGCACCAGCCCTGCTTGGGTGCAGGAATACACCTGCAATTTATACCACCAAAAGAAAGCTCTATCTGTCCCCAAAAAAGGGTATAACATTCATTTCTGTACAGCGCTGCATGACGGAATAAATGTCAAAGTACCGCAGCGCTGAATACTGAAAAATGGCCTGGATGGGAAGGGGGTTTAACACCGCGGATGTCAACTGGTTAAACAGCCTCATGTGCCCATGTACAGGAGGGCCAAGAAGTGGTAAATACACCATTGAAGGAGTTTTGTTAGACGTGAGGGGAAATCTACCAATGGAGACACCTGTACTGCGGACAGCTGTCCAAAAGGGAATTTGTGTCACTTTGGGTGATTTCCTCTCACTCCTGTTTGGCCTCTGTGACAGGAAGTGAAGGGACATTTCTTCAGTGGTGCACAGGCAGCAAATATAACCTGGCAGGGGTTTAATTGTTCCTCACTCTGCCCAAAACACATTCATACACTGTAACTGAAGACTGACTTATGGCTTCTGAGCTCTCCCCTCCCTAGTAACATACAATTGGAAGGAGACAATCTTCTAGAATAGGCCATCATATAGCATGTTCCCTCTAATGCCTACAACAAAATGTGGGCACACAGGGGTCTATGTTTATATACAAGATTCACACAGCTTTCACTCTATATTCAGACATTTCCAGAGGAATACAGTGAGAGAAATGTGTAAACCTTGGTTGAAAGTTGTGTGAAAACATTGACAAAATAGACCCCGGCAGTGTTCCCTCACAGGGCTTCTCTGATCCTGCCATAGCATTGCCTATAAATCTTTGAGGCCCAGCCTGCAACAAGCCGACCAGAATTCAGAAATGAGCTCTCCTACAAGCGGAAGAGTTAAGCCTGTGGGCGTGAACCATCTCCAGCTAGGACACCGCCCACACGTCCGCCTCGCCTCCATTCGACAAATTCCACCAATCAACGCGAGCTGGGGGAAATGCGGGAAAATCCAAACACAATAAAACCGAGAAAAAAAAGGGGCGTCCAGCCTTATAAGGAAATGTGCGCGCATGCGCAGAAGGTTAGCTCGGGCCGCCGGGTTCCAAATTGGAATGCGGCCCCGGAGATAGAGCCCAAGAGACGGCGAGGAGCAGCGCCGGGACCCGAGCAGCACACAGCTCCGCCCTTCCTCTGAACCGAGTAGTCAGCCCCCCGGATCTCAGGCACTCCCGGAACTTTGCTGGATGCGCGTATCACGGGACAATGTTAGGGCAACAACAACAGCAGCAGCAGCAGCCGCCGCCGGGTTTCTACTACTCCCCGGGAGGCAGCAGCGGAGGGCTGGATGAGAGCCAGCTGTCGACCTATGTGGAGGAGTATCTGGAGTGTATGGAGTCCCTTCCCCTGGATATCCAAAGGACCATCTCCTTACTGCGGGAGATCGACACCAAGTACATAGGTAAGCGGCTCCACACGTGGCCGGGGGTCCCGGGGACACAGGCATGTGCTTTCCTCTATGGCCAGCCCGGTAACCGACCCTCTCCCCTCCATCGATGGCCGGTACAGGTCTGCAGTTAGGGGATTGGTGCGTCATCGCCTTGTATAGGGTAACGTTCGGTACCCAGTGCTGTATGGAATTCCAGCACAGACTGCTCAGCTGTGTGCACAGGTTGGCTGACGAGACAGCTGCTAGGAACTAGATCTCCTCCCGGTGAACAGACTGCCTACACTCTTATCTCTATCACTCTGGTTGTGTGTCACTCTTGTGCCATATTCAGCCATTTTGGAAGCTGGAGGATAGCGATCGCTGTAGCCGTAGTAAATTACAGGTCGCAGTCCGCCCTGACAGGCTGTGCTGGGGGGTCCTCGTTTGTACCCTGCCCTCTACTCTGATCTGTGTGATCATGGCTGAGGGCACTGTACTCATTCCGGGGTTCGCTATGAGCATTGTCGGGCGTGCACGGTGCTCTATGTGAAGGGGCTGCATTGGTTTTTATTATCTGTGACTTGGTGGGCACAGTTACGGATGCAAAGCGGCTGGGAGCGCACCATTGACGGGTGTTATATTGTATCAGCTCTTCTATACCGTGTAAAGACTGTATAGTGACAGGGGCGTCATTTCCGGGGCGGGGCTCTGCCCAGGAACACAGCACACACGTCCCCCTGCCGTGTCCGCCCCCCTGTGGGCGGAGCCTGCATACCACATGCATAACGTCATGTCATCCACACCCGCCCTGACATGGCCCGCCCAGTTGTAGTGTCATGGCCCGCCCACTCTAGAGTTGGCAGCCTATGTTTACACTCGGGACACGCCCCTTCCTCCCAATTATGTCACTTATAGCTCCTTGTGTCATGTTCTATTCATCTGATGCATACAGCGGCGGCTTGGCCGCCCTTGTTTGTTTATATGTGGCTTTGTGTTACTGTGTGTATGCGGTGGGTGACCATCTCCTCTTTTATATGTATTCCAGAGGAGGAAGAAACATCCCTTGCAGTGGGGCTACAATAACATGTTAACCCTTGCGGTACAGGGGGTTATCCCTTTTTTACAGTTTAGTTTTTTTGCAGTCCTGTACTAGGGTGACAACACTGCTCTTTTTGTAGATCTAGTGCGGCAGGGAGTGTGTTGTTAGCAAGATCGTCAGGTAAAAATAAAACTAATGGTGATGCCACTAAGGACTGCTTTATATACAGTTTTAGGTTTAGATACGCTTGCAATAGCCATGATTTTGTATGCATTAGGGTACAACAATAGAAAGTTTTGGACAGAGCTTGTGTTCTCATCTATATCCTTTTAAGTAAGAGCAAATCTCCCTAAAGGAAACGCACATCAACAAAGCCTGACTGATGTTCCACCCCCTTTTATTTTATGTAGATTCAGGGGGGTTGAGAAGCTCTTTTGTGGCCAGCTGTGTCCTCATTGGAGAGACCCCACTTCCTGTTCACCAGGACAAGAAGTAAAGTGAAATCTCCCCAGTAGGGACAACAGTAAACCTGTCAGGGCTAAAACCCATTCCCCACTCAAGGCAGCACCAGACAGTATTATTGTGAAGTCAGAGTTCCTCACTCTAGTGATTTTCTTTTGAGAGAAGCTGATCATATTCTTAGATTTAGACTGTTGTATGACGGGGTCTCCTGGACAGATCCCAGTTGTCATTTGTAGAATGCAGATTTTATATTGAAAAGATGTCATGGGAGTTCTATTTATTCAGGAATCAGGTTTCCTCTGCAAGGGTTGTTACCAGGACTATGTCCTCCTTATGTACTACATCATTGCTTCAGTGTTTGCTGTGGCCTGATCATGTTTCTTGCTGTATAATCACTCCTCAGGTAGTACATAAGAAGTATAGGACATGGTCATGTTTCTTGCTGTATAATCACTCCTCAGGTAGTACATAAGAAGTATAGGAAATAAAAGATCAACGTTTCATACGCAGAAATAGAATCCAATGCTCGCTATAGGCAGCGGTTACTTACCGTACATATGATCAGGTTACAGTAAACGTATAACACACAGGCCTGGGACAACACAGCTTTTTGTTTGCTATATTACAGGGCAATGAGCCATATACATGAAAATATTGAGTGTTTTGCATGTGTTAAGACGTGTGTGTGATCTCTCCCTCTCCTTTAGACATAGGAAGGATGAGACCCATTTATAGATCCCATGTATGGGTAAGCAAGGGACCTTCTACCAGGATGCAATGCCCGAGTCTGTGTAGCCAATTTCTAGGCCCCAAGACATGTAGAAGAGCAGTGTACACATGGAGCGTTTACACAGCATTTGTAGACCATTTGGCAAGCTTTGTTGAAGCCCTTTAAAGCTCCAGTTTAGACATTTTTAAAGCCGTGCTCTTGGTAAAATGTTTCTTAACCCTTGTAGTGCGGGGTTTGCTCGTTTTTTGTCTAGATTAAAAAAATAACAGTTATACTGGCCCAATCCTCAGAGTCGGTTGGCTGTGACAGCACTCCTTACCTGTCTGTCTTCTCCTATGCTGCAGTGGTGGAATGGCACGAGGATCCTTAGACCGCTGCAGTGGAGGGGTAGCGAGGCCGAAGGGGCCGGCTCGCAGGAGTGGGTGAGTATAACTTCTATATTTCTGATCCTAGATAAAAGCGAGCACTTGACTCTTGCAGTGTGGGGGAAAGCCCCACTGCAAGGGTTAAGGAAATGTTTACCTGGAGTTCTTCTCTAAACACATTTTCAAGTGGAAGTAAAGCCTTTTTATGAAAAATAAAAAGACTTGCAGGGGCTTGTGTATTAGTCTGTCATAGAAGATTCTACATGCACGACTCAGTGTACAGGCTCAGCCGGATTCTAGCCAAGAAGAAGTAAATCCCATGTGTGTGCATGATAGTTATACAAAAGAAAGGATCCTTGCTGCACACCGTACCGGGATTCTCATGTGGATATACCAGTGGGTGCTCGAAATGACTACGGATGGTGCCGCCACGTGCAGATAGTTGAAGAACGTCACCAGCACCCCAAGCGATAATTACAGCAGTTTAAGTATTTATTGAAGAATGCCGTGCCTCATATGCAAGCACTTTATGTTCCCTCATCTCTTGAGTCTGAAGGGGACCCTGCGTGGCCCTGAAAATGCTTGCATATCAGGGACGGCATGCTTCAATAAATGAATATGTAAACTGCTGTAATTATCGCTTCGGGGTGCTGGTAACTTGTAGCTGGTGGTAGTTATGTCACCAGGGCCTGGCCAATCGGGGTGCTAGAAACTCAGAACCCAGAAGAAGGAATGAAGATGGGAGGGCTGTTGAGGGAAAATGCTGACATTGCAGTGCTGAAGGGGATGAATGTGTTGAGGCATTGCAAGACTCTTGACAGCCACAGGGATGACTCCCAGAGGCAGATCCCCCCCTTGCCTTAGACATTGATGTGAGGGAGGAGAGGATGTAATCAACCCAGAATAAGCTTGTTTTCTGCAGCCATCATCACATTCATACTTCAGATTGCAGTTGCAGTCTCACTCAGCAGTTCATGCCCATATGATATTGGCTTAATGAGAACTATGATGTGTCTGAACTTCTTTCACAATATGAGTGTTTGCAGTATGCTTTATACATCTGCCATTCTAAAGATATTTGTTGTTCCTTTTTCATCTGCAGAAGCACTGAAAGAGGTTGATGAGGTCTCGGAGAAGCATTCAAATGAAAGTGACCCACACCAAAAGAAGCGTTTACTACAGCAACTTCAGAGGGCTCTGATTGTGACCCAGGAACTGGGTGATGACAAAATTCAGCTTGTCACACAGGTGCTGGAATCGGTAGAAACTAGGACTAAGCAGATCGATGCCCTCTGCAAAGGCTTCTTTGAGCCAGAGGAAAGTGAAAAGCCTTTGGAAAAGTCCAAATCTGAGCCCAATACAGCTGAGCGCTCTACTCGGAGACCTCGCAGACAGCGGAATAGCGAGAGTCGGGACTTGTGTCACATGGCCAATGGAACAGATGATGGTGATGAACCACCCAAAGAAAAGAAGGCCAAGTCTTCCAAGAAGAAGAAACGAACCAAAGCCAAGCAGGAAAGGGAGATGTCCCCGATTCCGTTTGTAGTTGACCCCAATGAGCCAACATACTGCTTGTGCAATCAAGTGTCCTATGGGGAGATGATAGGATGTGACAACGATGAATGTGCCATAGAGTGGTTTCATTTCTCCTGTGTCGGACTTACCTATAAACCAAAGGGCAAATGGTACTGTCCTGACTGCAGAGGGGACAATGAGAAAACCATGAACAAAAACACAGAAAAAACAAAAAGGGACCGGAGGTCAAGATAATAATATGAGGTTTTTTCTTTTTTAAGTGGGTTTCTTGTATAGTTTTCTGGACTTTTTTTTTGTATGTGGGAGCGATGTTTTAGGTATAAGTGATACTAATTTTAATAGCATTGCAATATTAAAATTTGTTATGGCTGTAATTACATTTTTCTTTTGGGAAGATTCTTTTTAGACCAGAACACCCTAACTTAGTTCCAATTGCAGTGAGCTCGTACATGAACTACTAAATCCTTTTTGTTTCTTTCAAGTAAAACGTGCAGCACCAGAATGGAGAACGGTGCACACTCTCCAATACTTGTATTTTGAATGCTTGCTTGTATAGTAAAGAACTCCAGTATAACACGTAAAAAGGGAAGGAAAGGCAAACTGCCCGCTATATGCTTACAGAGCCACACTGCAGCCAGAATGGACCCTGACTATATTGTTGGGATCCACCCGGCTGTCTGGTTCTACGGCTGGCTCTGCTTCTCTAGAGCCAGTCAGCTGTGCCCGCCCTTTCCTCTGTCTGTGCTCTCTGAACAGAGAGTGGAGGAGGAATCCCTGTGGGGAGTGGTGACTGACCGTAACTGCTCTCTGTAGGGAGAAAACCGTGAGCGATCAGTAGTGACATGATCACTCAACTCTTGGTATAGAACCAGTGAGTGATAGCTACAGTGTCCCACGTCGTATATTTCACTCTCCCAATACTTCAAGTACACGTTTGTTTGGAAGGGAGGTATATTGGTCATGAATAGACTGCTTCTTGTGTTGTACCATAAAATCTATATATCTGCAGCTGATTTGCTTCTGAAAATGCTAGTTTCCTGGCTTTTCTGCTGATCCTTTGGCTCCAATGAAGTGGAAAGCAATGGAGCCAAAGGCTGCCACTCAACAACCATTTTCTGAAGGAGATTAGCAATAGAAGCTTACATATTGCTCTCCAGTTTTCTTTAAGGGAATGCTATGATTTTTATTTTTTGACTGTCGCTATGTAAACAAAAAATGTTTTATCCCAACTCCAGCCTGCAAAGAAAAGCTTTAATATTTGCCTGCCTATCCATCTAGGTCACAAAGCGCCACTTACTTGTTCAAGACACGTCAGCACCTGGTACAAATCGTGGTGTGTCTGGTGCCCGGTGCAGTCTCAGAGGCACTACATCTCCACTTAGTGACCTAGGGCCTGCGGATAAAACTACAGAGTTCAGTGGGAGAGCATCGGCATCTTGATATGTTTTGGAAGTGTTGATTTTTCAGCAAGATCTCTTAAAGTCAGTGGAGCTCAGCGGCGCAGGCAGCAGGACAGAGTCGTATTCATTCGTTTCCTCTGCAGGCTTTACAAAGTTTAGCTGACAAATAAACACTTATTACAGAGTGCTTGCAAGACACACGAGGTAAAGCACACAGGGCTTTTTGATAAAGCACGGCACCGGCGATATTTTTGCACTGGTGTATGTACTAAATAGGTGAGACTTTTTAGTAGGAAAGAAAGCCAAAGTATGGTAACAATGGACCTGAACAGATACTGCAGCAGTTTGAAAGGCTCCTCAAAGTTGCTGCCTTTTGAATAGTGCCGTTTCTTTTTACATTCAGGTGGTGCTTAGTCCTCCTGACGGCATACAGAATCTGGATGTATTCTTAGGTTGATCACATTGGAATTTTCCATTTTAAGCTACCGTATTTAGCGGTCTATAAGACGCTCCGGACGATAGGACGCAGGGCTTCTGTGACAGAAATTGTCACAGAAGCTGCAGTTAGTGATCGCTGAGACAGGTGGCGCTGTCTCGGTAATCACACAGAGCCGACGAAGAACGACGTTCTTCGTCTGCTCAAGGGGCTCTATGGTGAGCTCCTATGGACCACGGCGGGGGCGGGCCCGATCGCCGCTCAATTTAATACAAGGGATCTAATTAGATCCTTTGTATTAAACAAGCAGCGGCTCCCACTGTACATTCAGCTCTGCTTGTCAGGAGCAGGGCTGAATGTATAAAAAGAAACTACTCGCCCGGCGCCTGAAACTGCATGTCCCAGGCTTCGGGCGATAGGTATTTGCTCCATAAGACGCAGGCACATTTCCCCCCTCCTTATGGGGGAAAAAAAGTGCATCTTTATGGAGCGAAAAATACGGTAATGACCCCTTTCATTAAATGGCAAATAGACCCTGTCATCGGGTAACTGTTTAGGGTGCTTACATACATAAAATGTTTATAACAAAGTAAGAGAGGCACTCATTTTAGAAATGCCAGGGCTGTACAAAATACCCCAAAATTGCCCCCTTTTGGAAAGTAGACATTCCATGGTGATTTTGGGGGTGGAAGTGAAAGGGTTAAAAACTCCCAAACTCTCAACATGAATCTTTTGCTATTCTCTTTTATAAATCTTCATATGAATCTTCGGCTGATGTCTGAGCTGTATGATGACTCTAATCACTCCTGTTCCCGGACACACTAGCAGCCTGTATGTATTTTCTGAAGTGCCATTTTTAGACAGCAGATCAGACCTAAACATCCACCTGTAAACGTACACATTTGTTTTGTGCCATCTATAGAATCTTTAAATAAAAAAGGAGTTTTTTTTTTCTTCTATTCAAATGAAACAAAGATCCTTGGCCCACACAATCGGATGTCGACCAGATAAACCTGCATCTGATTGGATACGATATGTTACGCATCATCATTCTTTGCCCTGTACTCCAGGAAATGTAACTGCAAGGGTAAATTTAAATCACCGGAGCCTGGGGAAGAAGAAGCTGTGGGGACCGGTCTAACAGCCAAGTGAGACTGAGGATTAGGTGAGTTTCTGCTTTATTTTAGCCCCTAGAGCAAAGTGAGCAGTTAACCCTTGCAGTGCGGGGGTAGCCCCACTGAAAGGGTTAATTTTTACATTTCCTGAGGTTCTTTAAGGCAACCTTGTCACTATACAAATGAAATTTTATACCTGTAAACAAAGACTAAGGCTTACCCTCAGCTGCCCACACTGCTCAATAGATCTAATCCCTGAAGTCTGCTTGGAAACCAACACCTCCACTCTCCCCGGTTCCTGCTGCTGACCTCCATATCATTAGTCTCCTGTAGTAACATGGCGGTCAACAGGAGGAACTAACTGTCTTCTACTTCAGCCCTCAAATATTTATGATGGCTACGTTTCCCATAGCCCACATGTGTTAAGTTTAGTCAGAAAGTTCCCCTAATAGATACTTTCTTACAAACTCTTATTGTATTTGATACTAAGATAGAAAACATCTGTCAGTAGCGTGGGTCTTGGTATGCATATTGCGGCCATTGGTAGAGCTTCAGATTGTGTGCACACCGAACTGAAATGACGATTTAATACTTTTCATGGAGCATTTTATTTTGCAGACCTCTGCCATCTGTGCTGAGCCATCTTTTCCTCTCCTGTAGTTCTGCATGTTCTCTGTGTCTGCTGGGTGTTCTCTTGCTGCACATGCACATTCTCTGTGTGTGTTTTTGCTGCACATGCACATTGTGTGTGTGCTGTCTGTTTGATTCTGTATTATGTGTGTTCCCGGAACACGTAACCACTCTAGGATGTACTCCAGTTGAGGTACACCATGGCAATGAAGAGGGAGAGTAGATGCCATACAGAGGGAAAAATCTAGCACTGCAAAGTAGAGGGGGGTGAAGAATTGTGTGGGCGTGCAATGGAGCATGCTCACTGAGGCTGTAAAGCTGAATAGGTGAAAGTTGCTACGGGTTACTGCACATTATTGCTCCTTGAATATTATTAAAGCAAAAATGTATTCTAGTGCAGCTTACCAATTCTTGGATGTGGTTCCTGCATTAGTGTCCCTTTTTTTTTTTTACCCTTTATTTTTACTTGGTGATCCACCTAATCTGGTATTTTCCAACTTCCTTTAACCACTTGAGTACAGCTTTATTTACCCCTTCATCACCAGGCTATTATACAGCTTTCAGTGCTGCGATAGTTTTACTAACAATTATTCTGTCATGCGACACTGCACACAAATGAATTTTATAGCATTTTTATTAAACAGATACTTTCTTTTGGTGGTATTTAATAACATGTTTTTTTTTATTTTTTACTAAAGTACACAAAATTGTGAACAAAAAACTTTCCCTTTCTGGTAAAAAAAAAAAAAGAAAAATGCCAAGACAGTATGAACACCCCTGAAATGTCGCCTTTTTTTTTTTTTTTTTTGCGAAAGACACCAAGGTCTCATTTTTTGCAACAACTTTTTGAAAAACAAAGCATCCTGTTATTGAAAGGGTTAAAACAGTGCTTGGTAATGGTGAACTAGATATAGCTCATCGGGTCATAAACAGAGGGATCAGGAGGTGAAGGAGTTAATGTACAGGCCACAATTCAGGGGTAGGCTGAAGATCAGTAGTTTGGGAGGAGTGGCACGGAAGGAGTTAAAAAAAGTCATGAAAATACATTGTTTCTCCCATTCACAATTTACTGCCCTTCCTTCCTAGTAAGAGGAAGGGGAGGGATCTTCATTGTAAACTGTACCAAAGCAACCCGAGCCACTGTGATGACTAACGGTACTGTGTCTCTGTGTACTGAGCTGTCCTAGGAGGGCTCAGTGCACAGGTCTTAGCAGTCGCCCAATGGCTATTTGTGGAATGATGTCTTAAGATGTAATTCTAATAATAGACGTCCACTGCCCCACTGCGGTATGGAGATGTTTAACAAGTCCAGCAAAATATGCAGATTGAGGGTTGAGACAAACCATTTACCACTGACAAGGGGTGCTTACAATGGTCAGCTTTTATTCATTGATGTAAAACCTTTATTCCAAAAGGAAACCAAAAACTGTTTCTGTATCTGCTTAAAAAGTGTTACCTGGAGTTCAGATTTTATTCATTAGTCAAGTCCATCTAAATTTGTTATTCTGTGTAACACAAGCCTCTCCCCTGGGCAATGCTGCCGTCCAATGATGACAATGCTGCTGTCCAAAGGGTGGCTCTGTTGCTCCTACATAGAGGTGAAAGCAAAAGAAAACTAATGCAGCCACCACATTGAGGCCTTGTGCACACACCAAATGCAGAGCAGATCCGCTCAGGTTTCTGCACATGCAGTGGGATGTACTGCGTTTTTGATGTGTTCCGGGCCGTTTTTGGTTAAAAAAAAAAAATTTAGTTTAACGTGCTTACAGTGTGTTCCAGGCATTTGCATGTGTTTTTGATGCGTTTGCAGATCCAGAGCAGGTAGAATAGGGCCTGCTGCAGTTTTTTTTTTTACCTTCTCTGGAACTGCACGCTGCGATGTGAACTGGAGCTAAAAATACCATAGGAATACATTGGACGCAGTTTTGATCTGGTCTGCAACTGCTCTGCTCTGCACCTGCTCCGCGCTTGGTGTGAACAAGGCCTTAAAGTGACATTAAACCCTCAGATTTTTTAACATAAACTAATACTGTAATGTGTGCCTTACTGTAATCCATGGTTGTTTCCCTTCTCTTTGCTGCTCTTCCTTTAAAATCCTCATGTCTTCTCATGCTTGGGGAGAACTTCCCTTTTCAGCTCAGGTTACAAACCTATACACAGACACCGTGTATCCATTCCTGAGCCAAGGCAGTCTGCTGCAAAACAGAAGTTCTGCCCAGCATGAGAACAGATACAGATTTAAAAGGAAGATCAGCAAAGAGAAGGGAAACAACCATGGGTTACAGTAAGGCACACATTACAGTATTGTTTTATGTAAAAAAATCTGAGGGTTTAATGTCACTTTAAGGATTGTAAGCTGAAATACATTACACTTTTGTTATTGGGTTTAGATGCGCTTTAAATGAGGGTACTGTGGTCATAAACCTGGTATACAGATAAAACGGGTCAACAGACATGAGATGGCCGTTTCATGTGTTTAATTTGGGTGGGTGGGAGGCTTAAAATCCATGTACCCTCAAAGTCTCTGCATAGTAAACACTTGAGGTTGCCCAAGAGTTTTGAACTTTGATAAAGATTCATCTTTGTGTCATAAAAATAGACCTGTATTATGAATTCTCCATTTCTAAATCTTTAGAGGTTGGTCTTTGTCATCGGGCTCATCTTCACTGCTCGTAGATTCCTCACCAAACAGATCGGCTCCCTTGGTGAGGTTATTGTCTTTATCCTTTGATGCAACTTTCAGGGTGACAAGGGACGGAGTATCACTCATTCCAAGAAGAATAGTCTTTCTATCAGGAGCCAAGGACAGGCAGCAGATTTTACTGTCGGGGGTGAACACAGAGACTAGCGTGGCATCGGCCAGGTTCCACAAACTGACGTCGCCTATAGAAAAAGAAAGAACAGATTCATTGGACAATAGCCATGCGCTGTATTTTCAGATTACTAATATATAAAGCTTACAGTATAGTGACATTTCCTAAAGGCTGAGCTCTGACACTCACCCATGACTTACTATTTTACTTGTATTGGCCAAAACAAAAATGCATAATGCATGACAATGCAGATGTAACAAGTGTGAAGGGAGACATAAATACCGGCCTGCAATGAGCATGCAGATTACAATGATGTTAGAGCACCTAACCTACATTCTTATATACTATATTTATGGGTCAGTGAAAGGTGTTTCACTGTTTTATCTACCAAAGGAGGTTTAATTCTGTGCAGCCAGTCCTGAAATGTATAGAGCTCTGCCACAATGCACAGCCAGGCAGGAGACACACTTATTTCCTAATTCAGAGATTCATGTCACCATGTTACTTCCAGCCTGCCCAAATGGACAATGAGTCTGCACCATTACCTCTGCCCAATCAGCAGGGAGCTGATCAAGAAATCAGTAAAGCTGGACCAGGAAATAGAAACGTTGGAAGTGCTAAAGATACCCACCAGACAGTAAAACTGCCTTGGACCCTCCTTCCATGATTTGTATTCTGCTGTCAACCGTGAGGTTAAGGTTTTCATATCCCGGAATGACTTTGTGTTTATGCTTGAAAGGGTCCCAGACCCTTATTCTGAAAATTGGGGGAGAAAAAATTCAGGTTAGTCTGACATATCTCAAATTATCTTGTAACAATATGTGAACAACTGATACATATATATATATATACACATACACACAGTCATGGCCAAAAATATTGGCACCCCTGCATTTCTGTCAGATAATGCACCACTTTGTGCAGGAAATGGTTGCAATTACAAATGTTTCGGCATTCTCATGTTTATTTCTTTTGTCTGTATTGGTATGACAAAAAAGTGGAGAAAAAAAAAAGCCAAACCTGACGCATTCCACGCAAAACTCCAAAAATGGACTGGACAAAATTATTGGCACCTTCTCCAAATTGCAAGAAATAATTGCAGTCCAAGTTTTTGTGGAAAAGCATTGACAATCTGAAAGTTACAAGTCCATCTCCAGAGATCTTAATGTTCCTGTGTCCACTGTGCGCAACATTGTCAAGAAGTTTACAGCCCATGGCACTGCAGCTAATCTCCCTGGATGTGTACAAAACAATTGCTGGTTTGGGGTTGCTTTGCTGCTTCAGGCACCGGATGTCTTGACTGTGTGCATGGCATTATGAAATCTGAAGACTACCAAATAATTCTGGGGTGCAATGTAGGGCCCAGTGTCAGAAAGTTGGGTCTCCGTCAGAGGTCATGGGTCTTACAGCAGGACAATGACGCAAAGCACACATCAAAAAGCACCCAGAAATGGTTTCAGACAAAGCGCTGGAGAGTGCTGGTCTGGCCAGCAATGAATCCAGATCTGAATCCCATAGAGCACCTGTGGAGAGATCTCAAAACAGCATTTGGGAAAAGGAACCCTTCCAATCTGAGAGACCTGGAGCAGTTGGTGAAAGAAGAATGGTCCAACATTCCTGTAGAGAGGTGTAAGAAACTCGTTGATGGTTACAGGAAGGGATTGATTTCAGTTATTTTTTCCAAGGGCTGTGCTACCAAATATTAATTGAGGGTGCCAATAATTTTGTCCAGTCCATTTTTGGAGTTTTGCGTGAAATGTGTCAGGTTTGGATTTTTTTTTCTCCACTCTTTTGTGTCACATTAATACAAACAAAAGAAATAAACATGAGAATGCCGAAACATTTGCAATTGCAATTTTTTGCACCAAGTGGTACATTATCTTATAGAAATGCAGGGGTGCCAATATTTTTGGTCATGACTACATATTTATAGAGATATAGTTTATTTCGGTACAGCATTACATAATTATTAAATGTCAGTCAAAGTACCTAAGCGCTGAATACCGAAAAATGGCCTGGCCAGGAAGGGGGTTTAACACCCCGGTCATCAAGTGGTTAATATGTTGCACTGAGTTGTTCATTGCATGCACATTATAGACGTTTGAAACATAATAAAATGATTCTTAATGCCCATTTTTTTGGGTACCTATTAGGGATGCACCGATATTTATTATTCGGTACATGCCGATACCGAGTACCAATACCAGTACTTCCTCTAACATGGCGTTGTGTCATTAACCGTCGCCCAGCTTCTTGGTTGCCTGGGTACCCAGCTCCATGTTCCCATGCGGCACTGCCAGTCAAAAGAAATCTCCCTCTGACCGGAAGTTCCAGTATCTGGAGCAAGTATCAGAGCATTTGGGCGAGTACGAGTTCTAGTATCGGTATCAGTGCATTCCTAGTACCTATAGAAGTGTATGGTTCAGATACATGGGCAGGAAGTATTATGTAAAAATTCCACAAACAAGCACCTATTAAGCCTCATACTTCAAGGTGTAGCTGTCCTTTAATTCCATTACATTTAGGACTACAGTGGAGGGAAAGTGAATCCCTTACTTGTTTTCTGAGGTGACTCCAAAAACAATTCTGTCAGCTGTGTCAGTAATAGCCATGCAGCAGATATTTGGCTCATTTTTTAGTCGTTTTTTGACCTATAAATAAAACAAAAAATGTCATAAGGAAGAATAAATGCAACCAAGTCAAGAGAATGTGTCAATTATTTAGTGGTTTCAGAATCTAAATGGATAGAAATCTGGCTTTAAGATTGAATCCAGAGAGTTTCGGTCAATGATTCAGACTCTGAATGGTCTAAAGTAGAGGTAGCCAAACTCCGGCCCTCCAGCTTTCGTGGAACTACAAGACCTATGAGGCATTGCAAGATTCTCACTGTCACAGGCATGACTTGCAGAGATGCATGTTGGGATTTGTTGTTTCACCACAACTGGAGTGCCTGAGTTTGGTCTAAACGTAGGGGTAGCCAAACTTCAGCCCTCCAGCTGTGGTGAAACTACAAAACCAATTATTCCTCTGTCTCTGGGAGTCATTCCTGTGGCTGTCAGAGTCTTGAAATGCCTCATGGGACTTGTAGTTCCACAACAGCTGGAGAGCCAAAGTTCGGCTACCCCTGGTCTAAAGTCTTTCCTGACAGAGGGTGCCTTTGCTGACCTCTTCTCCTGAAAATGCTAGTTTCCTGGCTGCCATGCTCACCCTCTTTTTTTTTTTTTTTTTTTTTTAGGACGACCAAGTAGGCAAGGTTTCTTTAAAATGGGCCTATCATTACAGTTTTAAAATGAGTAGGACTCAAATCACATTTTGTTTGGTGAAAAGTACCTCCTTGTTGCCTTGAATGCTAAGAATAATGACTGCTCTATAGGGGGAACTAAAGTAAGAATAAAACAAATTGCTGGGAGGTCGGGATTTTTTGGCAGAGGGGATTTGTAAAGCTAGTTCTGCCAAAACAAAAAAACAGTTTACTCTCTTATATCTATGATGCCATGAAGATCCTGATGCCATGGTGGATGTAACTCCTTACATCATCACTGGCCACCCAATGGCTGAAGATAAAACCCCCCCAGGACACAGCAGTATAATCCTGCTTTAAAATACACCTGCCACAAGAGAATTATTTAGGCCGCCATTGCTAATGTCTCCTCGGCAAAATGACGTTTGCCTCTTTAGTTGGCCATTGGGCTGCCTATCATTTTGGTAGGACAATGCACAGACCACATGTTGGCAGCTCAATGACCAAGTGAAGGAATGCACATGGCAGGCTGACAACGCTGCTACTAATTGCAAGCCAGTGGCTTAGCGTTGTCAGCTTGAAACAGGAAACATAAAATATTAAATATACTTTTAAGTCCTGGGTAAAGCAAAAGCTTGCTTTTGCCGTGTGGCTACTCATGCTCTGCAAGGGTTAAGTACTTCTTTTTTCTAGGTGACTCAATTCAAGCTACAGAAAAAACTTGGTGTTGGGTCTAAAGAAGACTCAGCCCACAGTGGTTATAAAGGATCGGAGTAGCCAAATAGAAGCAAATTAACACATTTTATTGGTCAAATTATTGCACATGAATGAAACAATGCTGCACTGCAATCCCCCCCCTTTAGAAAGTACAATGTTAAAACTGTGACAACGTTGTGTTTCTTAGTTCCTTTAGGACAGGGGTCAGCAACCTTAAACACTCAAAGAGCCATTTGGACCAGTTTCCCACAGAAAAGAAAACACCGGGAGCCACAAAACCCTTTTGACATCTAAATGAAGATAACACTGCATACTGTATATCGTTTTTTACCTTTATGCTATGTATAATATGTATATAGGTAAATGTGGGCTTAGTAACGCGCTGGACTCTGGGCTTAGTAATGCACTCCCAATCCCCACCCCCCACCCCGCTTCTCATTCGGACTCACCTGGCAAGCCTCACAGCCAGACGGTGTGCACTGCAGGGGGTGGGGCATGTGACACGCACTTCTCTACCGTCGCCTTTTACTAGGGAAGCGACCGGGAGAGGAGGTGAGTAACAAGACCTGCCCCCTTACTGACATGCCAGTCGGCAGCGTGGAGCCCCCAGGACCCTGCGCTGTCGCATATTCCACCAGGAAAGGTGCCCAGGACCGGACCTCACTGGGCCCCCCCACAGCCTCAGGCCCCGAGGCCCCAGGGGTAGTTCCGCCCCTGGACAGGGAGCCGCAGCAGAGGGATGAAAGAGCCACATGCGGCTCCGGAGCCACAGGTTGCTGACCCCTGCTTTAGGGCATCCCTCTCTTCTCTACTGAGGTTGTCTTTTCCTCTAAGTGACCAGTTCATAGATCTCAGATCTTTCTGGAGTAGGGGGTCTATTCACTAAAGGGTGAAGAGTTTGGAGAATGCAGGAGAAGGGAACAATCTAGGACAACATAGCTGATCTGGAAAGTGAGGTGAATTGGAGAATTTTTCCACATCAGCTATGTTGTCCTAGATTGTTCCCTTCTCCTGCCTTCTCCAAACTCTTCACCCTTTAGTGAATAGACTCGTAAGTCTGTGAATAAACTGATGTATCGGTTCTTAGTAAAATTGGGCATCGTTTTTGATTTCCTACCTAGGGACGTGGTTCTACTCAAGGATACATTTTCAGGGTATCCTTCCTGATCAGTATTTTAATCCACTAAGGCCTCGAGGTCCTTCAGGGCTCGTAAGTCCATCAGATCTTTATCACCATCAGTTCCATGCAGAGTAGGATCATCTCCTTTACTATACAAGTACCTCAGATAAACTTTTCTCAAGAATAAATACAAGACTTTAAAAATGATGAACTCATCCATGCCTTCTGTTGGTGAGAATGATAAACCTCTGCAGGAGACTGATGTGGTGCTGGTCTAATTCAATATTTGTAAGGTTAATGATATTATTTACTCCAGCAAGCTGATCAGGGATTTTTGGTATTCCTAGTTCCGACGGCTTTTTAGCCTTGTCGTTATTCGTTGTTCCTGAAGGGTTTCCTGTTCTTTTATGTTTTCTTTGTCTCTTTCTCTTATTTTTTCTCTTGGTCTCTGACCTGATCTCGAGGGATTCCCCTCCTCCTCTAAAAACCTGACTGATTTTCTACGTGCTTCACCTTCATTCTCACTGGTGGAATGGTCCCCAAAGGATTTGTTCTTACCGGTATATCTAAAACGTCTCCTTCTAGAGGAGCTCCTGCCTCTACTCTGAGAGAAGTCAAAGATATTGCCCTTCTCCCAGTCCTCAGAGTCCCGATGGAATTTTGATTGTTTTGTTTGTGTCAGAGTCCTCTGGGTCCTCTCAACATCTTTTTTAAGCAAATCATTCTGTTTGTTGAAAGTGTTATGTTCTTTCAAGGGATCCAATTCCTGCTGGCTCAGATTAATTTGACGCTGTAGGTCACTCATCTGGAGTTTTTCTTCCTTGATAATTAACTTAATTATCTCTATTCCATGAGTGATGCATTGTAATTTCCATTTCTCTAGGAATCTATCATTGTGCAGGTGCTCAGCAGGGATTACCTTCTCCCTAAGACCTCTCGGTACCATGCCAGCCTGTACATAAGATTCTAATGACATAATATCCCATTTAAAAATTAATCTTTTATGTTGCCGAAATTTACTGCAAATTTCCCCTTCAACTTCCTGTATCAGTGGTTTAGTGCATTTAAAGGCATCTTTTATTTCAGTGTCTATATCTTCACCTAATGTGTAAGCCATACTGATCTATTAAATGAAAGTTCTAGACCCAGCGTATTCCCACAAATTGCAGGTGGTTATAGTGCAAACTATTCAATTCATGTGCCCAGCTTTAACCGGGGTAATTGTGATGAATAGTCTCAATGGATAATAGGAACGTGACTAAACAGTCACCAAAAATACTGCAAAACCAGAAAGGTGTTTATCCAGAAACTTTACATCATATCAAAAATAGCTCCTTTCCTCACCAGTGAGGATAGACTTAGTTGTACTCAACAATCCATAACCAAATATGACTACAGAAAAAACTCGGTGTTGGGTCTAAATTGGAGTAGCCAAATAGACTCAATTCAAGCTGTTTTATTTACCTGATCCCAGCTGCAATGGTTGCCAGTGCACATTTCTTCTCCCCCTCCGCTCCGGATGTTGTAATGTCTGTCGGCGTCCTCACGTCTATTGCAGGTCAATAGACTTGTATAAGATGTGATGACATCCGTGGTCCTTAGACCGCCGGAGCCCAGGGGAGAGGAGGCTGTGGGGGTCTGGTTTAGCAGCCAGGACAGAGATGGCGTGAGCAGGAATCAGGTAAGTAAAACAGCTGTATTAGTGTCCCCTAGATGTAAATGAGCACTTAACCCTTGCAGTGCAGGGATAGCCCCACTACAAGGGTACGTTTTTTGTTTGACTGGAGATGGGCTTTAAATACAACTAGTGAAAGCATTTAAGTAGGGGGAGGGAAGGGTATCAGTAGGGTCAAGGAACATTCTGACAGGAGGAGGGAGAGAAATGAGGGTTGGCTCATCACTGCACTGTCCAATCATGGACTAGGGGCAGGAAGATGACCAGGCTGTACTGCTTAACTGCAGTAGAAGAACATTTAGGTCACTCATGTTGCTCTGCGGTCTGGTAGGGCTGTGGAAATCTTAGGACTGGATGAACAGAAATACAATCTTTTGGAAGGTAAAGCTCCCATTTATGTAATTCCACTGTATAATAATCTGTTTGCCTGGAGTTCAATCTTAATTATTCAGTATAAAACAATGAATATATTACCAGCCCATTCTGAAGGTCCCAGAGAGTTACATAACTGCTTTTTTCAGCATCGCAGTAGTTGGATAGGGCCAGGTAGCTGCCACTGTATGTCAGTGCAGCATTGTGCAAGAACAGCATTGAGGTCTTGTCTTCCAAGGTGTGCAGGTGGGTCATTGTGTCCAAGCTAAACACACAAAGGTGATGGGCATAATATGAACATACGATCACCTGAAAGACAAAACAACACTGAGAGGGACTGCAGAGTAACAATTTATTTTCCATATCAAACACTAAAAACAAAAGTGTAAAGCTGGCCATACACCTTACAATTATCTGCAGATTTTCTGTGGTCAGATGGAAAAGGTGCAACAGATTCCTCCATCTACACTTAACTGTGTGGATGGAGTAATCTCCACCTGGGCCAATCTGTTGCACTTTTTCCATCTGACCACAGAAAATCTGCAGATAATTGTAAGGTGTATGGCCAGCTTAACTCATCAACACATTTCTGTAACAAAACTGGGGCCTTGGTTTTTAAAGATGAAGTCTTTGGGTTGTCATCCTGGCAGTTTTAGTGCCCATTCAGACCAGAGGCGTTTGGGCTACACTGAAAGACTTTGCCAGCACAGTCCCGATGCAAAGACAAATTTGGGCAAATTTCTTTGTTTACAATCAGTCTAGCTGTACTGAAAAAGTACTGTATGTACAACCACATCCCATTGCACTTTGGCTGTTAGAAGTGCATGAAATGTCACTTGTTTTAACAAAAAAGTAAACAGTCCGATTCATATACTAATACTTTGCTGGTATAAATAGACCCTTAAGCTTGCCATACACATATAGATTATCTGAAGATTTTCTATGGCCAGATGGAAAAAGTGCAACAGATTCCTCCATCTATGCTAAACTGTGTGGATGGAGGAATCTCCCGCTGGGCCAAGCTTCAGCATCTTGCTAGTCGGCCCCGCTGGCTCTCAAGATACCTGAACAATGCCTGCATTTAATCAGATTGTTCAGGTATTTTGAGAGCCAGTGGGGCCGACTAGATACTGAAGCTTGGCCCAGTGGGAGATTCCTCCATCCACACAGTTTAGGGTAAATGGAGGATTCTATTGCACTTTTTCCATCTGGCCATAGAAAATCTGCAGAAAATCTATAGGTGTATGGCTATCTTTAGACTTCTCTGCCTGCATTGTTGTTCCAGGTTAGTAACCTACTATCAGCCTGGAGCCTGCACTTTTCAAAAACTAAGGGGTGTATTTATAAAGAATTCTTTGTGGACGCTTGTTCTGTGCGAATGTAGCCCAAAACTAATGTTCTTGGTAGATTTTCTTTCCAATTCAAATGTACTATACGTGAAATACTGCACTATGGCCACTGGATGGAGCTGATGAGTATAGGAAAGAAGCATTCATTTCCTATGCTCAACAGCTCCATCTTGTGGCCATAATGCAATATTACATGACAGCATTAAAAATGACATTGCATTTAAAGGAAAATGTACTAAGGATTTTTGTTTTGTGCATCCATTCACACAGAACAAACATTCACAGAGATTTGCAGGATCAATGGCTCTGAGAATTGTTGATTTATAGGCCTGTAAGTCTTCAATGGCAGCTACTATATTTTTATCCTACCAGGGTCAGTTAATATTCCAGCAGATATTTTATGATTGTTGCAGAATTGGTTGAAACTCTTAGTGCTTATTTTAAAAAATGTCATGTGTTGCGCATGCCGTGCATTATGTTGTGATGCATCCCTAAAAATGGTCCATGTCAATTTTAGGCTTTATAGTGGTGCATTAGCAGTCCATCAAGCTAACTTGCTAGCGCACTGCAACACAGCGCTAACGTGTGAATGGCCCCTAAAGGACTAGGGTTGCAGCATCAATTCCTGTTAGGCACTGTAGATTCCATTCTTTTTAAGAGAATGCAGTATGCCGAAAAATAAAGTGAGAATTACAGATGGTGGTGTGCCAAGAAAAGCCCTTGCTTTGGTAATTTTATATCATTAAAAATAGGGACACAGGAGGGGGCAGGGCTAATCTCTACATATAACTTCTGCTTCATACATCTCTGGATCTACCAATACTTTAGGCATGCAGTTCTCACTGGAGGTAACCTATGGCAATACATTTTCTCATCATATGCGCAGTTTGAATTGTCCATATTGGTGACATGTTAACTTTAAACCACTTCTTGCCATAAGCTGATTTTTAACATTTTGATTCATTTTAAGTTGGCATTTAGTAAAACAACAAATGTTGTACACAGATGATGTCTTGCAGTATTATAATCACACAGAGACAAAGACAGAAATGCAGATGAAAGGAAATTTGTATTGACAGACAATGCTATTGCTATTTGTTTTTAAGGTGCAGATTACAGGGCTGTTATACATTTCTTTGTTTCAATACTTAGTAAGTCACAGACCCAGAACAGGCAGTTGTATGTCAGATGTCCCAACAGCTGATACGCACATGCTTGCTTCAGGTTAGCGAAGGATGGTATAAGAATGACAGCCCTGGAGCATACGCCTTAAAGAAGAACTTCGAGAAAATCACAAACTTACCCTTGCAGTGAGGCTACCCCTGCTTTGCAAGGGTTAAGCCGATTTACTTACATGATCTTCAGTCCCAGCAGCTCCCTTCAGGCTGCTAGACCAGTTCCTGCAGCCTAAAGATCATTGACATCATCACATTTTATGCAGGTCCATTCACCCACATTAGACATGACGAAGCCAAGAGATATCCCATAGCCGGAGCAGAGGGGAAGAGAGGTAAGTGCTGACCGCCGTGGGACCAAGGATCAGGTGAGTAAAACTACTTTATTTGAGCCCTCTACACCCATGGTTCTCAACTGTTGAGTCGTGACTCAAAAGTGGGTCGCGACCCCGTGTTCAATGGGTCACCGCATGCCTTCCACTTTTCTAGGGGAGAGGCTCCTCAGCCTCCCCCTAGCACAGCACTGTTAGTTCTCATACCAAGCAGCTATTCAAAATATGCTGCCCGATGCCAAGTGTCAGTTTGAGGTGGGGTGGATTGGTTCTATGGCTGCGAAGGACCTCTATTCATAATTGCATTGCTTACAGCTCCTTTACAAGCCCTGTAGAGATGCCTGGACTGGAGTGACATCACAATCTGGCTTCCGACACCTCTACAGGACGTGCAACGGAGCTGTACCAGCAATGCACATATGGATAGAGCTCTGTCACAGCACAGCAGCCCACACTGGATCTCAGACTGAGGATCCACTCCAGGTCTCATAAGATAGGGATACTGGGAGGATCGAAGAACATTTTTTTTTTGGGGGGGAGTGTGTATGTATGAGAATGTGTCTGTGGCTGTGTGTGTCTGTTAGTTTTTTTGAGGGCCTGTTCACACTAGTACTGTGTGTTAATCACACAGTCCCGTGTGATTAACGCACTGCACCACGCAAAATCGCACCTACTGTGAATTCTGGTGTGGGAGGTGTGTTGCAATGCCATTCATTTGAATGGCACCCCAAACGCACCTCCCACCCACAGTTCAATCGCCCGCACCGGAACATGCGGTACAGTAATTATGTGTTTTCCAGTGCGGTGCGACTTGGCTCATGACTTGATGACCAAGGACAAATATGGGTCCTGAGGTTATACAGGTTGAGAACCACTGCTCTACACAAAACGAGAACTCAACCCTTAAAAAGTGGGGATAGCCACTTTTATATTTTTTTGGCGTTCTTCTTTAACAAACAAATCAGCAATGGTTACTTCCGTAATAGTTTCTTTATAAAAATTAGCCAATTCTGATGCTTTCTCTGCATATTTTCCTCATTTTATTGGAAGCCTGATAAGGGGTCCCTGGGGTTCCAGAGGCACATGAAGTTACCTTTTCATTGTCACTCAGCAGGTACTGATCAATCGCATTATTCTTCTCATTGGCCAGCTGCTGCATCTTTTCTATCTCTTTCTTCCTCTCCTTTTCCCTTCTGCGTCTCTTTGCAGTTTTGGTCTCATTGCGTCTTTCCCATGGCGTCAGAAGAACTGAAATGTACAAAATGTCCCACATGATCCAATCACAAACGTGCTGCAAATGTATGAAAGCTGCAGAAGTGATTCACAATTACATGGCACAATATTTTAGTCTGCTGGTTATACAAAGTTTGAGAATGTTTGATTCTATAAGTTGAAAGTATTTTATTTTTAAAGTGACCCACACAAAAGCCAGAGACGGCCAGTAGTAGCCTTTCTATTTCTTGATGTTTCTCTCTTTGTTTCTTAAGGCTGAGCTTACATGGGCGGCAGCCTCCACCACCTCTGAGAAGCAGTCTCTTGTGGATCGCTTTTCAGAGGGCGGTAGAGCATCAGCTGCATGGTGTTCAGGAGGCGATACTGCCTGCTCCTGCATGTGGTTTTTAAAATCCCAATGGGTATATTCTTTTTCAATATCACACCGCAACTGGGTATCCACGGGGTTGTGGTGCAGTCCCGTTCATGCAATGGACCAGTTTGACAAGTGCCACTGCCTTTGAAATGTGGCATGCTGTATATTTTTTGCTGCACCACAACACAATTATCACAGCTGTGGCAATGTATACGGCACTGTTTGACTATAGTGCTGACATTACAGCGGGTGGCTGGGGGCAGTAAAACCACAGTTCAACCAACTGGTATGGTGTACCTCAACACATGACAAATCAAACCTGCACTTTTTTTCCAGTGCTGCACAGCAACACAATGGACAGATGTTGCAATGTGCAAGGTGTGTTTGTAAAGTGCCTAATGCATGACACCAAAACACAACACACCACAAACATGCATTTTCCTGCATATTACATATTGCAGGTAACAGGTCTTAATGGGGTTTTTCTAAATGAAAAGTTTGTTATTGGGTTGACATCTACATGAACCCTTCTAATGTAAAAAAAAATAGTGAAAGTAGGTAAAGACTGTTTTGCCACTTACTGCACAAAAGTAATATGGCATGGCTCTTTTTTATTTATTTATTTATGTGTAGCCTCCATCACCTTCTGTGATGTGGCTACTAGACATTTAGTGATAGCCGGGGCTGTAGTCAGCCTGGCTGGATTATAGTGGCAGTTATCTGGTTAATTCCAGGTGTCTGACAATGCCTGTACCCTCCTGGGCGGAGTGTGACTCTGTCATATTGTGGGACAGCCAATGAGAGGCACTGTAGTGTATGTACAGTGCAGCAGCCAATCACTGGGTTTCTCTCAACCAGTTGTGCATGCTGGGAAAGGGTACATATACTGGTGGGATTTGTCCTGTGCTCAGACTAGCCAGGACCGGCCATGAATTAGGGCTGGGTGCTGTTCAGCCTGCCCCCCAGGCTAGGCATGGGCTGGTGTGAGGGAAATGTTTCCCTGAGGCCTCCAACATGGAGGAGGCCTGTGTTGCTGCCAGAGGAAGAGACCCAGGACCAGGGATAGATCTTGAAGTTTTCTGGAACCTGGGGACTTCAGGAGTATGGCTGGTGTCTCTCCTGTTGAGGATCTATATTCATCCTGCTCATCTGCTACTTCAGTTGCTATCCGCTGTCTCCCAAGTGGATCTACACTGATATGCCAAGCAGGTCTGGTGAGTCTGCAGTCTATGTCTGTTACACCCTGGAAGCTTAGAATTCCTATACCCTCTCTCCTCAGTGAAGATGTTCAATAAAAGCTATTCTGCATTATACTACTGGAGTGGACATCAGTTATTGTGGGCACTAGAAGAAGGGCGGTTAATGCTAAGGGGTGGGCAGCTAAAGATCATCCCCTAGACAGACTAGAGATGAAACGGGCATTCCAGCGGCTCCTTCGGGGGTAGCGCTACATATGTATGTATGTACTTATTATAATTGATTTTAAGCCAGAGAAAAAATGTGGTGAAGTCAAACGAAAGTGAACATTTCTGTTAGCTTAAATACCATTTACAGAAGTTTTCTGTAATTGTCCATTACCCCATAAATACTAATAGTTCTAAGTGCAGACATGTTCCCATATTATCATTTTTTAAGAATCTACCTGTCTCGTTTACTTTTTTCTTCTGCTGCAGTGCTTCCTTATTTGTATTCTCTTTGTATATGTCACGTTCAGTCAATAGATCCAGTGCCAAGTGCTTGTCCTTAAACTGCGGCCTTAGCCGGTCCTTTATAAAACCCGTGTCCATATTCCAAATGACAAAATGATCTCTGCAAAAGTAGGTGGAGATTGATGACAAGCTCACAGAGTGATCATAATATATATCATTTATCATTTCTGTTACCTATTTAAAGTGGAAGTCCAGGCAAACAGCTAAATGCACCACAGATATACTGTATATAT